AGGAAACAACAGGTGCTGGAGAGGATGTGGAGAAATAGGAACACTTTTACAGTGTTGGTGGGACTGTAAACTAGTTCAACCATTGTGGAAAACAATGTGGCGATTCCTCAAGGATCTAGAACTGAAAATACCATTTGACCCAGTTATCCCATTACTGAGTATATAACCAAAGGATTATAAATCATGCTGCTATAAAGACACATGCACACATATGTTTATTGCAGCACTATTCACAATAGCAAAGACTTGGAATCAACCCAAATGTCGCTCAGTGACAGACTGGATTAAGAAAATGTGGCACATATACACCATGGAATACTATGCAGCTGTAAAAAAGGATGAGTTTGTTTCCTTTGTAGGGACATGGATGGAGCTGGAAACCATGATTCTCAGCAAACTATCGCAAGAACAGAAAACCAAACACCGCATATTCTCACTCATAGGTGGGAACTGAACAATGAGATCACTTGGACACAGGAAGGGAAACATCACACACCGGGGCCTATTGTGGGGAGGAGGTAGGGGAGAGGGATAGCATTAGGAGATATACCTAATGTAAATGACAAGTTAATGAGTGCAGCACACCAACATGGCACATGTATACATGTGTAACAAACTTGCACGTTGTGCACACGTACCGTAGAACTTAAAGTATTAATTAAAAATAAAAATAAAAAAAAATGACGTGAAAAAATAAAAAAGAAGAGTGGATCAAGTGGAGGCCTTCAGTCTCCATAGGTGCTTAGAAGGACAAAATCCCCCATCAAAAGCCACATGGTGTGACTGGCTTATGTGGGGTTAGTGTGGGTATGGGGCTCTGGAAGTAAGGGGCTATGGAGCTCAGGCAGACCTCAGGGACACGAATTACAGCCCAGAGTCTGATGATCTGAATCAATGGCCCGTTTTCTCCCTTAGCTTTGATTTCCTTGTGGAAAAGACAGTTACTTTTAATGAGATGGCTGTTCTAATTTTATGAGATTGCCTGGCCTATTGAGGGACAGAATATTTGGAGGAAAGAGACATTTTAATGACTATGTAGATTGCAGACCTACTAAAATCAGAGATTATTCATCATCATGTCCCCAGTACTTAGTGTAAGAGCAGATGCTCAATAAATATTTGTTGTATTAGCAAAATATCACAAGTGTTATCCAGAACTGAATATTATTGAGACTTCCTCCACCACAAAATAATAATACATACTTATCTATATATAGTTTTCTTTTATTCTTTTAATCAATTTATTTTTAATTTTTGTGGGTACCTAGTAGATATATGTATTTATGGGGTACATGAGATATTTTGATACAAGCATACAGGCATACACATATGTGATGTGTGTAACAGTGACATTAGTGTCAATGGGATATCATCACCTCAAGCATGTATCCTTTTTTGTGTTATAAACAATCCAATTATACTCTTTTAGTTATTTTAAAATGTACAGTAAATTATTGTTGAGTGTAGTCACCCAATTGTGTTATAGAATACTAGACTCTATTCATTTTATATAACTATATTTTTGTACCCATTAACCATCCCCAGTTCCCTACACCCCTTCCCCTTCCCATTATCCTTCCCAGCCTCTGGTAACCATCATTCTACTCTCCATCTCCATGAGTTCAATTGTTTTAAATTTAGCTCCCACAAACAAGTGAGAACATATGAAGTCTGTCTTTTTGCACCTGGCTTATTTTACTTAACATAATGACCTCCAATTCCATCCATGTTGTTCAGGCTCACATTGATTTTATCCATTTGTCTGTTGATGGACACTTTAGGTTGCTTCTGTATCTTGGCTATTGTGATATATACTTTTTCTAGGTAAGAAAATTCCACATCTTTCTTTCAAGTAATTTATATTTATTCCTCAGTGTTCTCCCCAACCCCACCAAGTGTTTTTTAAACACATAAATCCTAGAGCAAGTGGGACTTCATCAATGATTTGGCTGGTTGTTCACTGTACTTGTGCATTTGCTGGCTTCTGTCAGGGGAGTAACTCTGAGGAATCCTCTTGGGACTTGACCTGGTTGTGTGAGAGCGTCTTTTCCACAGAGTTTCTTTGCTAGCTATATAATGACCACCTGTGAAATATAGCCCCAAGTCTCCACTTCACTGCCATGCCACTGGTATCACTTCTGTTGTTTTGGTAAATCAACAGGACTCATATGACTGACTGACAGAGTATTGTGAGATTAGACCAATTCTTGTTCCAACCCACCTTCAATGTCAGCTAGTTCAGTAACTAACTAGCAGTCAGGATCCAAGCTCTGGTTGGCTGCCAAACTGTCTGTCTGAACACTGATAAAAATAAGAGCATTTCATTCCAACTTGGCTGCCTTCACGTGTTGGATAATTATATTGTCTCATCCATCAGAATTTCTTCTAGGTCAGATTGACATTAAATTGTCTTTTTAATTACTGTGTTTTTTGACAAAATAGCTATTGACTAATCTATAAAATATGATCCAAAAAGGTTAAGAAAACTAGTCAGCATGTATAGGAACAGAATGTGTTACCTTCTCACTAGCTGAGATGGTTACTTGGTTCTGAGCTTCTTGGTTTTCAGATATCCAGTTCCTCCGAGCCATTTCTTCCCATTCTGCTTGCATCTTATCCCAAAACTCTGTATCTGACTGGGAAACAGGAAAAATGAATGGAGATGGATTTAAGAACATGCCACATCATCTGTGTTTTTGGGTTTTTTTTCCCCTAATAGATAAAAGAGGCTTCTGAGGAGGAATAAAATGGCGACATCCAATTGATAGGTGTGGCTGAAGAACTTCTGGAGGGTACTCACGTGTCAGAGTGTTGAAGTGGATTAGCTGTGGTTTTTTCCAGCAGGAAAATAACTACCATCAGAAAGACCAGGATCACATATGCCAAATTCAGCTAAAAACCCACTACTTATATACAGTTTCATGTGTGGGCACTAGGCCACATTTTAGGAAGGGCAGTCTCTCCCAGAATTGCTCCTAGCATATGAGGAATTAGAGCAACTACTTTGGGACTGGCTGAGCAGTAACTTGGGAAGACAGCCAGGTACGGTCAAGAGAACGAAACATTAGTTGATCCTACTCTGTGTTAAGCACTGTGCCAGCAGAAAACTGAGTCTAGGGGGTTACAGTCCCAAAGCTAGGACTCACAGGATCCAAACCCCATCTGCTTTCCAAGCCCACACTTGTCAGCTTATGGCAAATTTGGTCTACTGGTGCTGAAGAATGAGGGACCCTGGTGTGAACCTGACTGAATCCTCTTCAAGGACTTTTATGTGGCAGGATGATTTTTTGAAAAATGCTGCTTTGTGTTTTTGTTTCCTTGTAGTTTTCCCACACATCTTCTGTAAGGGGAATCAGGCTGTTTGCTCTTCTTTACTTCAAGGGAGGTATGTGTTCCTAGACTGAAGAAGATTTTTGCTGAGAGAGCTGTCCCTGATTGACTTCTATTTTATTAAGCCTGAAGACAGTACTTTAGGTGGCCCAAGGGGCAGGAGGAAGGAGCAAGTATCTTAAAGAATTTGAAAGAGATGGAATTTTCTGGGGGTAGGGAAAGAGATGGAGGGTGGCAGGTTCTGATTAGTAGGAGACTGGTGCTCAGTTTTTAGCTATTTCCCAGGGAAATGAGCCTGATATCGGAGAGGATGACTGAGGATGTGACAAACGGGGCTCACTGGAACCCCTGTTCTCACATGGCCAGGAAATAGAAAGTGAATTTCAGGGAACCACTTTGGGCTTGGATGGCTGTTAGTGGTCACCATGATAGCCAGGGGCAGGGAAGCGGGTGGGGGAGACTCCGTCCTTGTTTTCTAACACTACATGAGCCTTCCATATTTCATGCCCTAGAATAAGTTCCCTGCCAGCCTGGCAAGAGAGACACTTGGAAACCACTTTATTTTCTTTAAACAAACAAAACAACGAGTATTCCTTGAACACCTGAATCTGGGACTGAGATTCATACCCTTTACAAATTGCGAATCTCAGTGTCTATGATTCGAAGTCCTGTGACTTGTTGATACATCATCACACTGCCTTGAGGTAACCGTCACCTCTTTTTTTTTTTTTTTTGAGACGAAGTCTCACTCTGTCACCCAGGCTGGAGTGCAGTGGCACAATCTTGGCTCACTGTAAGTTCTGCCTCCCGGGTTCATGTCATTCTCCTGCCTCAGCCTCCTGAGTAGCTGGGACTACAGGCGCCCGCCACCACGCCTGGCTAATTATTATTTTTTTTTTTGTATTTTTTTTGGTATTTTTAGTAGAGACAGGGTTTCACCATGTTAGCCAGGATGGTCTGGATCTCCTGTCCTCATGATCCGCCCACCTTGGCCTCCCAAAGTGCTGGGATTACAGGCGTGAGCCACCGCTCCCGGCCTAACCTTCACCATTTAATACCTCTGGTCTGCCTGGGTGGTGGCTGCCCTGAAGCAAGAACTCTTCTGCAGAGCTGCTTTGAGTGGTAATTATAATCTCATTTCTTTTAGATACAAATGTTCATGGAATAAGAATCAGCTCAATGTGATAATCCCAGGCTACTAAATAAATAGTAGCTCTTGCTCCTGCTTTATCATGTCCAGAATTCTCATTCCTCCCACAGAAACAGGTTCCGCCCCTTTGGCAAAGGCCTCCTCTCAACAAGGCAGCAGGCATCTTGATAATCAATGTCCGTGATGCTGGAAGCACATGGAATGGCTACTAGGAATCCAGGTTCAGCTCAGAAGTAAAATTCAAAATTTCTTTTTAAATTGCTTTTTCTAGTAGAATACTAGTAGAATACCACATTGTGCAAGCAGAATGATCTCAAATGTACAATAACAATGGCTAGAGAAAAGACTAGGAAGAAATATGCCAGCATGTTAATAGAGATGTGTCTTTGGAATGAAGAAATAATGAAGGATGTTTTTCCTGCCTCTTCATACATTTCCTACTTTCTGAATTTTCCATGATGAGCATGCTTTGCTTTTTAAAAAATAAGTTTAAACACAACAAAACAAAAAATATCTCTCCTTTTTTAAATACAATGAAATCTGAGTTATTAGATACTAAAAAGTTTGGAAGAAATTTGGGGGAATTCATTTTTTAAATAGCTTTTCAAAGATGCAGGTTTAACCTGTCTGCAGTAGAAGGGAAGACAAATCTATCAAGTGAATTTTATAATGTTTGCTGACTTTCCCAGGCTCGCACTGGGTGACAAGAGAGGCCAATAGACTACACATACTTTCCAAGGCAAATATGTTCATCTAGTGGGAGTCCTTGGAATTTAAAGCATATTACAAGTCTTCTGCATGAAAGAATGAGAAGAATTCAATAATGTGTACATCTGAGTTACCAAAGGGTGCATTACCTTTCTTGCAGCTTGAAATTAGAGCAGTAGATACATAAATAAGGCTGCTGTGGAAAACTGACAGAACCTCAGCTGAGGTAGAGACGCTGGGCTCTCACTTAACGAGATACACCAGAACTCACTGTTACCACTTAAAATGAGTTACTGCTGACTAATTAAAGTGCACAGCACAGTTTTCATTTAATTACAGAAGACTACTTTTAGTATAATCAATTTTCATCCAGTTGCAGAATCCAGACTTCTTTCACGTAACTACAATTAACGCTGCTTCCTCCCACTATTTTAAATGAATTTTAGAGAAACCTGAAACATATTTGAATTTTAAAGATCTTAAGACATAACTGAAGGGATTTTATTTATTGATGATTTTCTTGGCTCTTCTGGAATTTTGGCAGATTGTTGTTTATACTCTGTGTAACAAGCTATCTGCTTACATCAGAAATGAGCTATTATTTGCCATCCACATCCATGTCTAAGAATAGTTCTCTGATGATAAAATATGGTACATACTCATAAGAACATTGGGATATGCAGCATGGAGGTTAAGAATAGCAGCTTTCCCTTTGGACAGACCTGGGGTCAAATCCTCGTTCCGTCATTGCCCTTTTGTGAATCTCTTAATATTTCCAAGTCTCATTTTCCTTATCTTTAAAATGAAGATATAATAGCAATTTTGGTTAGTTGTTATGACAACTAAATGAGAAAATGCATCTGTGGTATAAAGTACATGGTAGGTGCTCAAAAAAAGTAGGTGTTCTTGCTAGTGTTTTTATAGTATTGAGAAAAATATAGAGAATAAAACAAAAATCACCCACAACCGGAAAGCTCAAATATAAAAGCTGTGAACAGTTTGGTGTTTGCTTCTACTGTAAAAACATATTCCACTTCTAGACACCTTCCTCGTCTTCATTTAAATCTTTCCCTTCCATCTAATTATTAAAAAATAGGATCAAGGTTAAGAAAATTATGGTAAAGCCTCTATAATGGACTTTTAGGCAGCAATTAAAATGATGTTTATGAATAGTTTATTACAATATTGAATAGTCCTTGGGTTATAATGTTTCTTGCTAAGTAGTATAATCACAATAATAGAAAAACAACCACAATAATGATCTGGGGGAGAAAAGACTGTAGAGAAAGGGACTGTATAATTCTTTTATAGGATGAGGTCATTAGTAATTTATCCCATCACTTTTTTGTGTACTTTTTACCATTTTCCAAATTTTCTATTGTTAGCATAAGTTATTTCGGTGGAAAAGTAAGATTTGGTTAAAAAAAATGCTTACTTCTTTTCAATTTCAGTTCTCCATGATGTTTTCTTCAACATTCCCACACTATAGCAATCTTTTGCCTCTGAATTCCTTCATCATTGATATTCTGTGTTAGTGGTTTGAAAGAAGAAAGATGTGTGCTAGAATTTGAGCGAGTCACTTTAACTCATCTGTAAGTTATTTTTCCTCATTTGTAAAGTGAGAAGATTGGGTTCATTAGATAGCAGCTCAGGCTTCTTTGTCTACATGGATTGACTCAGATCAGAATAAGGCGGAAGGAAGATCTTAGCGCAGAATCACATTTTTTTTTAAAGGGGCCGTCTAGTCTATTTACTAATCTCCAAAAATCATACTTTAAAATGTTTTCCCAGAAGTACATTGGACATTATTTTCCTTCACTTTTTTGATTGTGAAACTGGAAAACAAATTTTTTTTTATAAGAACCAGGGCAATATTAATTAAATATTAATTATATTAACATATAAAGAATAAGAAAAGAAGCAATTTATTTTAGAACAGGAAAGTTTAAAGGATGGTAGCATATTATCAATTCCAATTCACCAGTTTAATTTAGTCATCGAGTTAACACAGAGCTACTTTTGATTTTGTGGTCAAATGTACTTGTCAGTTGGAAAGATCCTGGGGTTGTGCTGTGAAAGAACTAATCAATGTGACATTAAGGGCCAATTCTTCCTGGGAGGAGTCTGGATTTCTTTTTGCCTCTTTAGACTTCCGTTGATTAACTGTCACTGGATCAAAACTTGAGAAAACCAAACCAAACCAAACCAAACCAACCAGCTCTACCTATACAGAAGAAAACAAAGCAGGCCGGGTTCGGTGGCTCATGCCTGTAATCCCAAGACTTTGGGAGACCAAGGTGGGCTGATCACCTGAGGTCAGGAGTTTGAGAACAGCCTGACCAACATGGAGAAACCCCATCTCTACTAAAAATACAGAATTAGCCAGGTGTGGTGCTGCATGCCTGGAATCCCAGCTACTCAGATAGCTGAGGAAGGAGAATCACTTGA